GTTGCCAGAGGGGGGATCATGGTGCGGGGTTGTTTGGTGGAGGGGGATCATGGTGCGGGGTTGTTTGGTGAAGGGGGGATCATGGTGCGGGGTTGATTGCCAGAGGGGGATCATGGTGCGGGGTTGTTTGGTGAGGGGAGATCATGGTGCGGGGTTGATTGGTGGAGGGGGGGATCATGGTCCAGGGTTGTTTGGTGGAGGGGGATCATGGTGCAGGGTTGTTTGGTGGAGGGGGGATCATGGTGCGGGGTTGGTTGCCAGAGGGGGGATCATGGTGCGGGGTTGTTTGGTGGAGGGGGATCATGGTGCGGGGTTGTTTGGTGGAGGGGGATCATGGTGCGGGGTTGTTTGGTGGAGGGGGATCATGGTGCGGGGTTGATTGCCAGAGGGGGGATCATGGTGCGGGGTTGATTGCCAGAGGGGGGATCATGGTGCGGGGTTGATTGGCGGAGGGGGGATCATGGTCCAGGGTTGTTTGGTGGAGGGGGATCATGGTGCAGGGTTGTTTGGTGGAGGGGGGATCATGGTGCGGGGTTGGTTGCCAGAGGGGGGATCATGGTGCGGGGTTGTTTGGTGGAGGGGGATCATGGTGCGGGGTTGTTTGGTGGAGGGGGGATCATGGTGCGGAGTTGGTTGCCAGAGGGGGGATCATGGTGCGGGGTTGTTTGGTGGAGGGGGATCATGGTGCAGGGTTGGTTGCCGGAGGGGGGATCATGGTGCGGGGTTGTTTGGCGGAGGGGGGATCATGGTGCGGAGTTGTTTTTCAGGGTTTGGGCTCGGCTCCTTAGTTCCAGTGAAAGGAACACTTAATGCTTCAGTATACCAAGACATTTTGGACAATTTCATGCTCCCAACTTTGTGGAAACAGTTTGAGGATGTTCCTGTTCCAGCATGACTGCGCACCAGTGCATAAAGCAAGGCATAAAGCATAAAGACATGGATGAGTGAATTTGGTGTGGAGGACTTGACTGTCCTGCACAGAGTCCTGATAGAACAACTTTTGGGATGAGTTAGGGCGTAGACTGCGAGTCAGGGCAAATGCACTTCTAATAATACTAATAAACAGACTCCTAAACCTTGTGGAAAGCCTTCCCAGAAGAGTTGAAGCTGTTTTAGCTTGGGGTGGGCCAACTCCATATCAAACCCTACGGATTAAGACGGGATGTCATTAAAGTTTATGTGCATGTAAAGACAGACCTCCCAAAACCTTTGGCAAAATAGTGTGTGTGTATATATATATATATATATATATATATATATATATGAGGAAAAAGATAATACAATAATATTGAGAAATATATATATATATATCGTTTTCCTCATTATTATTGCATTATATTTTTACCAAAACTCCCTTTGGTAAGAAAAGTATTTAATTTTTTATTTTATTTTTTATCGACGTGAAACTTAATGGCAATTAGATGGCGTTCACAAAATTCTTCTTTGGGTGCCAATTATTGGTAAAATATTCAAGAATAACAATATGCAATTTTTTTAAACAACTTCACTGAAAGGTTAGATTTTTCCTCATCTTTTTAGCAACATTATTTATTAGTATAGTTTTCATTGCCTTTTTGTTCACCGTTACAGGTGATGCCAATAATCATGGCGTGCACTATATATTGTTTTTAGGGAAAACCAACCACAGTCTGTATTTTTTCACTAAGATTAGATGCCTAATAATTTTATAGGCACATGCAACTTTTAAGCTTGATGAAGACACGCAGCCACTGAACACTGTGATCAGACTGTCCTACAGCAGAACAGATCTGACTTCATACACTCACTCACACACACACACTCTGAACTATAATGTGGATTATCTGGATTTGCACTTAAGTTATTCTTCTCCAGGCAGCGATTCAACCACTCGTCTCTTTCTTCAAGAGGTTTTTTGCAGTCCAGTTGTAGAGCTGTAGGATTAATGCACATCTCGTCACTATATCTTATTATGCAAACGTGGATTGGTTGCCCATCATCTCGACTGATGCCCTGATCATCAGATCCAACATCTGACAAATCAACTATAGTCCTAATATATGTTATTATTAATGCAACAAACCCCATCAAAGCTTTCATACTGACTTTATACTGAATTAGCAAAGACTTACAATTTTAACTCGTGACTGCATGGCCTCCATGCAAACTGTCTCATTTCATTTTATGTTACATCTGAGTACAGCATAAATACTTGATCCTGAAATCAAAAAACAACGGAAGCTAAATTTTAAAAATCGTCTCAGATGTCTGCAAGTAAAAACAAGATTCTGGTAATATCATAAAAGCACAATACCAAATACAGGCCATTTATTGTAGCATTGTGTGTAATGCCTTAGCATTGTAATCCCTTGTGTAACACATTCAAGTCACAATTTTAAAGTCTCACTTCTAACTTTTACAGTCTTTAATCGTTTAATGTAAGGATGGACTGATAAAAGAAACTATAAATGCATGTCTTCCATCAAAAAAAATTTTTTTTTTAATTAATCCATTTTTTTTAATGTTGCTTGGACATAAAATTCACAATCTCGCTGCATAGTAAAATAACTTCTCAACCATGCAAACTGTAAAAAAAAAAAAAAAAAAAAAATCCTGCAACCGTAACTAAACGGTGTGTTACTGTTTTTGTGTTAGAGCATTTTATACTGTAGCTGACAATACAGTATTTAGCTGTTAATTTCAAAAACAGTAACACACTGTATTTTTATGGTCTGATGCTGGCAACCACAGCTGCCAGTAGTTTACCGTTTTTTTACAGGATTATTTTTTACAACGATTATTTTATTTTTTTATGTGTTGTTAGATGTCAACGAGATCCTGCACATCTCTGCGGTTTATATGCTTTGGGGTTTTCAGCCAACTTGACTAGAATTTCTAGGTAATAAAACAAATCCAGTCAGTGTGCTGGCCTTTAATGGATCGTCCTCCCTCCCTCGAGTCCCTCATGAACAAACCCAAAGACGGGCCGGTCCGTTCCAGTATAGCAGCAAGGATCCGCCAGATTAGCAATGCAGTTGTTTGATGTCTACGCAACGGTTTAAAAAAAACCTCTGCTGCAAAACGAGAGAATATTTATACTCCTATTTACTACAGAATGATTTGAAATCAATATAAACGCAATAGTATATTACTTATGAAAGGAATGCAAAATGCACACTTGCACAGAAAAGATGTTTTTAATACATCTTTTAATATATATATATATATAAGTATATTTAATTAGAATGCTTGCACTTGCAAATGGGAATTTATGACCTGCTATTTGGGAATACTTTAATGTCATGGATGTATAGCATCTTAGCAAACAAGACTTCAGGGGGTTGCCTGTGGGAATATAGAAGCATTGTGCTTCGTTCATTTTATTTATGTATTTATTTTTATTGCTACTATAGGTCTTTGAATCAGACAAGGTTTTAAATGTCTATATAAATATATAGAAATATTCAACCCTGTACACCAGCTGAAGATACATTTACAGAATTAATAAAGAAATAAAAACTGGCGTGTGATCATCTTTTTCGTATTAACCTTGGCTAAAAGCTTACTGAGATTTGCATAAGGTGAAACAACACTATAGCAAAATCTTGGCAAAATAATAAAATAATTTAAGAATTTTTTTTTTGAATTTTTTTATTTATTTAGATTTTTAGGGCTGTCAAACGATTTAATATCCAAAATAAAATTTTGTCTTTAATATGTTATATAAATAATATTTTTCTTAAATACATGCATGTGTGTGTATTTATATATATATACAAAATAATTATACACAGTGCACCCACATATATTATGTAAACACAAACTTTTATTTTGGATGCGATTAATCGTTTGACAGCCCTAATTTTTATATATATATATTGAATTTCTATAGGTATCTCTAGTTATGTTTAATATGGGAATTGAAATCAGTTATGTACCATTGTGTTTGTTACTTTAAATCGTTCTTGTGCCCATGATTTCTTGCATATTGAAACCTATAGATTAGAGGATGAAAAACATTGAAACCTCATAATGCATATTAAAACTGTGTGATTTTTACCCCCATCTAGTGGTGAAAAGGTATACGACCATCCAGTGAATATTAGTTTCTGTTCCTCTCAATTCCGATTTCGTTTTATCTCCTACGGTGGCCAACGTAGTCCAAGATTAACATGGCTTTCAGTTCGACCTCGTCCATGAGTGTTAACTCAAACGTTAACTTGAATTAAGGGTATGTCCCTCTTTGGCTAATGTACTTTCAAGATGGATGGGCAACATGATGACCGACATTAGAACCCCTTACCCGTATGTATTTTCAATGGCATATTATACACTCACGAGAATACTTTATTACTTGAACAAAGTAAATATACATTAATGACCACATATATTTTTGAAAGAACTAAGTGTTTTTAGCTAAGAATAAACTAAAAGAGTTACATAGTGTAGATAGTCTAATGTAACGCCAAATGTTTGGCTTCCCTTGGTTGTGATTAAATATGATCCTGTAGTAGCCCTTTTAAGTGAAGCCATTTGACAGTCCACTCACGCCTAATGGCAGCTTTATTGTTCAGCAAGTTTTCAGACCACCCAACTCTCATGATGACATCTACACACACACACTGTGGTGATCCAGACACCTCTACACACCACCCGTCCCTCAAATACTTTTGCTTCTCAACACCTTTTAGTGTGCTTATTCTCCCAGCCCCCGTCCCGCTAGATTTGGGGTGCTTCCATCAGACAACAGGACCCAGACTAACTAATTTAGCATCATTTAGTCTCACATAATCAACATTTGGCACAGAATTAGTCTATGAACATTTGTTTTCAACAGGTGCTGCTTTCCTGCTTCTGATCAATGTCTGATTTATGTGTGAAATCTGATGCAGCACTATTATGCTGTTCTGTGATAAGAGTGGACTTTAAGAGGAATAAAATACACCGATAAAAAAAAAAAAAAAAAAAAGACAACAGGACCCAGACAATATAATTTCTATAAAACTTTATCAAGCCTGCTGATAAGATGGTAAAAAAAACACTTTTCACATCACATTTTACTTAAACGTAACAAAACCATATGTACATGAAGTAAAAAATATACACTCGTTTAAAAAATTCAAAATATTTACAAGTGTTTCTTTTAAATATTAAATATTTCTGAACTTTTGACAGCATTTCAGCGGTTTTCATTTGAAATGAAAAAAGAACAGAATATGGAATGTTTTTGTTCACTCTTAGGAAAAGGGTTTCATTGGGGTTCTATATAGAACTCTAGGGTTCCGGACTCGAATCTGAGAGAACGCTTTCTCCAAAAATGTTCTATATAAGGAGAAATGTCGACCTTTTCCATACTTAAAAGGTTATTTACATTTTGTAGTCATAAAGTATGTTTACGAGCTATTTACTTAATAAAAAATGTATTAAAACTTGAAAATGAATTAATTGAAAATAATTCCATGTAATGATCCGATGATGTGAACCCCTTTTAGGTGCTATAGAGCGTATATATAGTGAACATTTGACATGTTCAGTGTTCAGTGGCAGCCGCACTCCTCCACGATCATGTCCTCGTGATGCCGCATGACCACTCCGTCTCCTTCGTAATACAGCATGGAGAGCGAGCTGAGGCGTGTGGGCACACAGGACGGGCAGCTCACACGCTCCGGGTGGAAAAGCTTCAACAAGCTCTGGAGAGAGAGAGAGAGAAAGCAGCATGTGAGTTATATAGTCCCAATTACTGTCCCTTATAACGCTTTTCCTTGTTGTTGTACTTGGGCCGTTCATATTTTACCCTACAAAAAATTCCATGTTATGTAATTCTGAGATGAAAGACATAACATAATGGAATTTTTTGTGGGGTAAAATACTTTACTTGATATTTTACCATAGTACATAGTACAAAAAATCATCCTGTCATGTTTTTATTCAAAATCAAATTACATAAAAATTACAGGCATTACAACAAATACTACTATGATGAATCAGTTAGTTACTTTACTATTTAGTCTATTTTTGTGCATTTCAGAAAACTTGAAGCCTACTTTTGCTACTATTTTTTTTCCTTCTTAACTAGCCTGGGTTTCTGCTAGGCAGACCAAATTTTCCCTTGAGATAGGGAACCAATCACAGAACGGAAAGGGAACAGCAAGACGATGATGACGACGTATATGCGACACACCGAAGCAGTTTGTTAATTCGTACGAATTTTACGAGATGGCTAATTCGTAACAATTCGTACGACCTCACTCGTACGAATTAGTACGAATTTGCTAAATCGTACATATTTTACGAATTAGCCAATTCGTATGAATTCGTACGAATGACCTACCCCTGACCCCGCCCCTAAACATAACTGTCACGTGGGTTTAGACAAATTGTACGAATTCGTACGAGTGAGGTCGTATGAATTAGTACGAATTAGCCACTTTTGAATCACTCGTACGAATTGGTCGTATGGACCCATGATCTTGGCAGCGGACGCGAAGTTACCTTTTGATACAGCCTAACGTTTGACATTAAACATATCGGCTCAACTGATTTGCAGAGGGGGGATTTAAAGCCGTTCCCTCTTACTGGTGATTCACTTTTTACATTTTTACTTCATATAACGTTAGTCTTTTTTGATAAACATCTATTTTACCATTTCATGTGTTTTAACAGCTAGATCGTGTTGCTATGGACGCAGTTGTAATATAATCGTTTTAAAATTAATACACTCCTTTTTAAATTAATATTTTATTGATTTATTTGGCGGGTAGCCATGTTATAAGTGGGAAAATGTATAGCAAGGTGGTTGTTACAGCGAATACAACCCCTTCAAGACCCCTCCGCTTCGGGATAGAGTTTGCGGGGTTGTATTCGCTATAACAAGCGTCTCGCAATACATTATCCCTTACTTTCATTTATTTATTTCTAAGAGGGCTGACAAGACAAAATAAGGACTGTCGAGTGTGTTTAAACAGTGCGGTACAGCAACCAAACCAGTAGTACTACCACTTTTGCAGTGCCGAAAGCGGACCTGTCACTGATGTAATGACGAAATGACGTGCACTTGCTAGCCTGTTTCATTTACATGTTCTTCGAATGCTAAAGAGGAGCCTCGGCTAGCCTCTGAAGGAAATGACTTGGAAGGACCGCCCTGCTAAGGAAGTATCCTTGACGTTGAGAAACACGTTTTGTGTATACATAAATCTCCTAAATCTCTAACCCATCGTCTAATTTTCTGTCGCTATAGAGAGCCTAAGTCCCGCCCCTCCGCTTCCGGCTCATGGGACCTTATTTCAGAAAAAATATGAATGGTAGTCAATGGCGAGAGACAACTTATCTTTTTATTCCGTCTGAACTGTGCCCTCAATTACACATATGATGTTTGTCAATTTAAAAGATAATTCTGAAAGTCATAAAACGTCGCAGTTTGTCCTAAAACAGAAGAGTAACATTTAGTTTTATGTGGAAATCGCTCTATGAACTACATCTCCCGGGAAGCGAAACAACGAGTGAGATCCGCTGCTCGTGTGTGTGCAGTCTGCTACAAAACACTCCGGTATGATGGCGTAACGTTACGATTATAACGTAAGACTATAGAAACAATGACAGACGTTAGCCTCAGTAAAGTTAGCTTCATTCATTGAGAGAAAATGTGCGCCTTTGGGGTTTGTAGTCTTTATAATTACGTATTTTCATAGTCTTATACCTCAACGGTTTTACATCAAACTGCGACTTTCTTCACTTTAAAATGTATTTTTTAAATTAACAAACATCATATGTGTAGTTCAGGGCATAATTCAAACGAGATCAAAATATTTTATATATATATATATATATATATATATATATATATATATTCAATATCTTTCTGAAATAAGGTTCCATGGTTGTCGACCGGAAGGGGAGGGACTTAGGCTCTCTATACATACATGATCTGGTATCATTGAACCGATTGGCTATGAGCTACGTACAGGCGTGTTTTTAATAGACATTCATAGCACCCAATAATACGGCTCTGGGCATTCGTAAACCACGCCTCAAATACGAGAAAATGAACATGTGGTTGAACATGTCTCATTCTCAATGATAGCCAGGCTACTTCTGAACATGATTTTGTGTTCTGCCATTGACCTGACCACTGTTTCAGTCTCTCACCTGCATATATGCGTGGTTTGTTGGGTTGTACGACTCATCCAGTGGACTTGGACATTGGCCTTCGCACCGGTAAGCATTGTAACGCTTCGGGTGCACGATCCACTCATCCCATCCAATTTGATCAAAATCCACCCACATATCAACTCGCCGGCAAAGTTCTCCTTGATGCTGCTCGACTCCCGTCGTGTTTCTCTCGTCCGTCTGAATGCGCATCCTCTCGACCCGGTTCCTCTTGTGTCGACGACCTTGAGCTCGGCTCAGGAGGACATGTTTGGAGTGAGCAACTGTATTCATCAAGCTGGAGGCCCGTTGGCCACTGTGGGAAAACTTGTTTTTGTAGAAGACTACAATCATAACTCGTTCTGCTGTGGGATGCTGAATTTTTCGTCGCCAACTCTTTGTAACCGGTTCAATTAAGCCTTCCCCGCTTCCAGTGTCCTCACTCTTTGTAACCAACTCTGTTAAGTCTTCGCCGCTTCCATCCTCTGGTGTTGGGATGTTCTCGGGAGTCTCCGTTCCCTGACTCAACCAGTGTTGGAGCAGCTCTGTGACGTTGAAAACCCTCCAGGTTGATGCTGGAGTGCCGGGCACTGACTTGATGCTTCCTAGAAAAAGTCTCTTAAGGCGACAAAACACTGAGTCTGACTCACAATCCCGTTTACGCAAGTGGAAGACGTCCACCATGACGCGTCTGGATGCAGAAAACGCTGGGAGACGGATGCGGAGCTCTGAAAGATGAATGTTGTCACTCACTGAGAGGGAAGACATGTCAAAAGTGACGCTCCATCGCTCGCCTGTTTGACGACAGTCTGAAAAATAAAGAAAATGTTCGGTGTCACCTCTTGCAAAGCTAATAGTGAATAAATAGAAAAGAAAACAATGCAGACATGATTATCAACACACACTATTAATTAGCTATAGTAAGTAAAAAATAGAATATTAACATCTGTTACACTTTATTTCGATGGTCCACTTTAGAAATAACTGCTACCTTTGCAACTACATGTCAACTAGGCTACCTCTTGTACTGTACTAGACTGTTAGCTAACAAAGCTAACAACTAGCAAAGTTAGCTACTTACGTTAGTGTTGTGGAGCATCGCAATAAAGAGTGAGCAGATAATAAGCAGACAGTCTAGTAATACTCTAATGAGAGCTGACATGTAGTTGCAAAGTTAGGCTACTTTCTGGACCATCGAAATAAAGTGTTACCAAATTATCTTCCCTTTTCCCAATAACAAATTGAAAATCCAGGTTGTGTTCGTTGTATATGGCCATTATATTGTTAAGAGTTTCTCCTTAAAATGTAATAGGGTTTCATTTTGGTGTTCATAACAAGCATTTTAAGGATTCTTGCAGCAACTCAGTTTCTAATAATAAGTTGTTGTAAAACTGAAATATATCGGAACGCGACGCAACTACGAGAACGCGTCATGCGTGAACGCGCCCTAATGTCAAGGTGAAGTGAAAAATATAGTATATTTGTATAAATTATAAACAAACGAAGACTAAATGTATAATGTCTAAATAACCACCACGCACATATTAGCAATTTCTCGTCAGCGTAATTTTTTAATTCTTACTTTTACGCTTCAGATTATTTTCGATGATTATTTAAATAAAAAGTTTAAATGCGGTATAATGAAGTGGGTGTACTGTTTTCAACAGGTTTCGTGAGATTCCCGCAGGTTCTGTCAGAGCCAAATGTCAGCGCTGTCAGGATGAAGGAGCTGCTTGACAGGAGATGTGTATTGAACCTCGCGCTAACAGACGTCTGAAGAGCTAATACACACACCCGTGTACATAAAACAGCCAGCTCTTTAAAGTCGAATAAGCATTGTGACACTACTGAGTTGTAAAATCTGAGGGTCAGATAGCAGATAATGAGCCCACAAGTTCGCCAGATGCGTGACTTCTTTAAAACACACTGAATATACATCCATCGAAGACTTAGTGTTGTTAACACGAAAAATATGTCTTGCTAAGTAGTCAAATTGTTGCCAAATTGCAACAAAAAAAAGCTTTTGCTTAAAAAAACATTTCTGTGCTGCATCTGTAGCTTATACTTTATAGTTAATAAAATAACTGGCTATTTAACCTTTTGTTATACAAACTTTCTCAGTTAAGACAGGCTACATTTACAAATGCACATACTATAAAATAAAGTGCAACTTATTTGATATAAACTATTGTCCTGATGGTGAATGATTAGTCATTTAATGTACATTTGCACGGCACTTTAAGGTATAGCCACATGCCACATGGATTGTGGTACCGTTTTGTTAAGGTGGTAACACTTTATTTTACAGTGTCCTTGTTAAACATTTAACATGTAGTTACTGTAGTAGCTAATAACAATGCATAAGTACATGCAACTAACCTTTAACCAAACCCCAATCTTCATTTTAAAAGTGTCATTTGCTTTGGACACAGTTAAATAAAGCATTCCCATGCAATTTATAGTCCTGTGTGTTATTATAGCAGGCTAATTAAAATAAATGGGTAATAACTAGGTACTACTAACCCTGAACTTAACCTTAACCAGTCTACCTTATAGGCCTACAGTACTTAAGTGCGTACTGTAAAAAATAAATAAAAATAAAAAAAGAGAGAAAAAGAACTGACTTAATTTAATTTTGCATACAAAATAAGTAAAGAAGGTTAAAGCAAGTGCATGTTTTACCTTGAGCAATCAGGCTGAGGACGAAGTCCGCCTGCTGGACAGTGCTGTTGTGGACACTGGCTGGAGAAGTGTGTGTGTTCCCGCTGAAGTCTCTGTATAACTGCATCATGTACAGCGGGTACCTCGGGTGCATCTGGAGACTGTAGTCAGAGTATGAACCTGCGAAAGCCTTGTGATGTCCTCTCACGAGCGCGCCTTGACTATCGATCTGAACGCAGTCAACATGTATCAGAGAAACCACCAAAGTGGCGAACAGTAAGAGTGGCATTGCGAATCAATGAGGTTTTCAGCTGCGACTCTTTCTCTGCGCGCCTGTGGTCCGAGTGCTCGGGGTGTCCAGGCTTCGGACAGCGCTTTTAAAGCGCACAGCTGGCCCCTGATGACCCCTGTCATCATGTAGTGTCCAGGAATCCCTGTGATCCATGAGGCACATCAGAGGAGAGCAGAGCTGTCAAGTTCACTGCTTCTGGAAACTGTGCAGGCTTTAAATGCGCGAGGCGTGAGAGTCGCGCGCTCGAATGTGCACGCGACATCCTTTGATTCTGGCCCACCCAAAGGTAAAGCACCTTGTTTATGCAGCATTTGTTTTAATATGAATGCAGGCAACAGTAAATTACGAATGCTAATTTTAAGGAGTTTGCAATATGATTTTACAGTAAATTTGGTTTTTATTTATACCCGGATACACAAACGATGATTATGGTATTCTGTTACTGGTGGGACGTTTGTCCTCTGAAGTGAACATTATATTTTAGTAAATTTCTCTGATATCACACACGTTACAGTCTGGATGTCCCGTATAGAGCACATTCAGGGCATTTCATGGGTATCACATATTTAAAGGTTTTACCACAACTTCTGACATTAATTTGGTGCAGATTTCTTGTGGAAATATATTTTGTAGTTATCATTTAAATCTGACTAATTCTAAAATTGTTTGTCATAAATCAACATCTGTGATGATCAAAATATGTCTTTCTGTTACAAAACAGCATTGTAAAAAAATATATGTACACTGTAAAAAAGATATATTTTCAAGATTTGTTATCACAAATTTTTTTCTTTTGTCAAATCAACTTAAATAATTTATTTAGTTGAGATAACTTATTATTTTGAGTTTCTGATGATTAAATTAATCTCCTTCAATGTATTAACTCACTTTTCCAGTTAAATCAACTTAAAATTTTAAGGCAACCAGCTTAAATACTATTTTAAGTTAAACCAACAATATTTGTTTTACATGGTTTGTAATCACAATATTTCTTTTGTCAACTTAAATAATTTATGTGGTTCAGATAACATAATATTTTGAGTTTCTGATGATTAAATCAATCTCCTTCATTGTATTAACTCAATTTTTCTATTTCAATGAACTTACAATTTTAAGGCAGGTTACTTCATTTTTAAGTTAAACCAACAAAATTATTATTATTATTATTTAGTGTTTATTTTTTTTACAGTGAGGCCATTCATTTGACAACCAGGACTTCAATCATGTTTATCAGGCATTAGGTAACATGAATAGGGAAAGAAATTAAATATCAATATTCCTATGAAATATTAAATAATATTATGAATATGTTGCCAATTATTTCTCCCATTATTAGTTCTTTTTTCATTACAAATTGCCCCAAGAACCTGTTAAAGAATAATAGGCTAATGACATGGGAAAATACAACAACAACAAAAAAAATGATTCAGTGTCTCAGGAGGATATAAAAATAATAGAGTGTTTTAGATTTTATTTATCCATCCGCCTATTTGTGTATGTTTGGTAAGTGTTTGAAAGGATATGGCTTATAAATATGACGTAAATCATTTTTTTTTTTTTTTTTTTTTTACAACATATAACCTAAAACATTCACACAAAATGTAACCAGGGTCGTTTGAAGCTTTGGAAAAATGTCTTTAAATGGCTTTAAATTCCATTTAATTTAATGACACAAATTAATGCAAGTTAAAAGCCTCTCACAGTCAGTCAGACTGTCACGATCTGGTGGTTAAACTACTTCCTCATCAAAACACAATAAAGCGTTCGGGTTGAGCATTTGAACATAGACAGCATCAGCTTTATGAAACAGCACTCCTCAATCCTAAAACATCATGCAGTTTGCCTTCGTCGCTTTCTTTCTCTTCACTTCTATCCTGTCTTTAGGTAAGAGAGTTTAAATATTAGCTAAAGATTGCTATGATATATTTTTCTTGAAAATAACCATTAGATTTAATAATTGAAATGGTTCATTTTACTATGTTAAAAGTTAAATCAAGAGACTGATGAATTTAAAATGAGCTTGCAGTAGATTTCTTGGTAGCCTATTTCCATATCAGAGATATTTGACATGCTCTGGTTTCTCTATAGGACGGGCAAGAAATGTAGACCTTCGGCTCACAGAACCACGAACATCCAGCCTTTCCACGGTGAGTCGTGAGTGACCAGTGCTTGAACATGAGCTGCATTTACATTAGCAGCAATGCAGATGAAAAACAAATGTTCTATGTGGATCAATTTTACACTGTTCATACACTGAGTATGCTATAGCCCAGTACATAACCCACATTTTCATTTATTTCATAAAGAACTTGACACCTTGTCTAAATCGGTTATATATATATATATATATATATATATATATATATATATGAAGAGTTCAGATGCAAAAGCCTCTAAGTGCCATTTCAAATTTTCTTCTAAAATGATCATTTTTATCAAGCTTGTATATTTAAGTTAAGTAATTTCACTTAAATGACAATGAAGATTACCTATCAATTGCCATTTAAGTGAAATTACTGAACTTAAATATACAAGCTTGATAAAAATGACCATTCTAGAGGAAAATTTCAAATGGCATTTAGAGGCTTTTGCATCTGAACTCTTATATATATATATATATATATATATATATATATATATATATTAAAACACAGATGCCTTTAAAGGGATAGTTCACCCAAAAGTGAAAATTCTGACATCATTTGCTCACCCACAATTTGTTCCAAACCTGTATGAACACAAAATAAGATGTTTTGAAGAATAACGGGTAACCCAGCAGTTAATGGGCACGACTGACTGAAGTTGGTTACTCATTTTACTATTTCTTCCATTTGGCTGGAAATTAAACTTGTGGACAGGAACTAGATTAGGGCGTATCCTTAATCAACTGAATTGACATACTATAGTTTTCTAGATTTATCAAAGGTCTAATTTAATCCTCCAATTTAACTACTCTATACATGTGTAAATATGTTTGGCTTTTGTCCATATATCACCTACATGTTGCTTTTCTTTTTGCTATTGCTATATCAAAGCTGTATTGGGGAAAGCTACTTTTAAAAGTAATGTGTTACAATATTGTTACTTAGTTACTTTTTATTGAAAGTAATGTGTTACAATATTGCATTACTTAGTTACTTTTTATTGAAAGTAGTGTTACAGTATTGCGTTAGTTACCTTTTATTGAAAGCAATGTTTTGCAATTTTGCGTTACTTACTTTTTATTGAAAGTAATGTGTTACAATATTGCATTGCTTAGTTACTTTTTATTGGAAGTAATGTGTTACAATATTGCGTTACTTAGTTACTTTTTATTGAAAGTAATGTGTTACAATATTGCGTTACTTACTTTTTATTGAAAGTAATGTGTTACAATATTGCATTGCTTAGTTACTTTTTATTGAAAGTAATGTGTTACAATATTGCATTGCTTAGTTACTTTTTATTGGAAGTAATGTGTTACAATATTGCGTTACTTAGTTACTTTTTATTGAAAGTAATGTGTTACAATATTGCGTTACTTACTTTTTATTGAAAGTAATGTGCTACAATATTGCATTGCTTAGTTACTTTTTATTGGAAGTAATGTGTTACAATATTGTGCTACTTAGTTACTTTTTATTGAAAGTAATGTGTTACAATTTTGCGTTACTTCGATACTTTTTCTTGAAAGTAAAGTTACAATATTGTGTTACTTAGTTACGTTTTATTGAAAATAATGTTATAATTTTGCATTACTTAGTTACTTTTTATTGAAAGTAAAGTTACAATACTGCATTACTTAGTTACTTTCTTATTGAAAGTAATGTGTTACAATATTGCGTTGCTTTGTTACTTTTTATTGAAAGTAATGTTACAATATTGTGTTACTTAGTTACTTTTTATTGAAAGTAATGTGTTACAATTTTGCGTTACTTCGTTACTTTTTATTGAAAGTAAAGTTACAATATTGTGTTACTTAGTTACGTTTTATTGAAAATAATGTTATAATTTTGCATTACTTAGTTACTTTTTATTGAAAGTAAAGTTACAATACTGCATTACTTAGTTACTTTCTTATTGAAAGTAATGTGTTACAATATTGCGTTGCTTTGTTACTTTTTATTGAAAATAATGTTACAATATTGTGTTACTTAGTTACTTTTTATTGAAAGTAAAGTTACAATACTGCATTACTTAGTTACTTTCTTATTGAAAGTAATGTGATACAATATTGCGTTGCTTTGTTACTTTTTATTGAAAGTAATGTGTTACAATACTGTGTTACTTTTTTCTCTTGTTTTAATAAAGGTTTTTATTTTTGCAAAGTCTAATACTAATCTGTATAAGGTTACAGGAAATTTCTACCCTTCAAATAATAAAAGATCATATCAAAATATAAAAATCTGACCGTGATCCTTAAAACAGGATCTGAGAATATGGTAATTTTTACACTTCCCTGTTTCCATTAAAGATAGTTTCTCTTTTAGACCCGTACAACACTAGAAAAGAGGTTGTGAGAGTTTGTGGTTTTGTGTTAGAAACTGCAACACATGGTATGCACTATTCTGTCTAGTATTTTACCTTGCAGACTAATAAACAAAGCACTGACATGCACCAAATTGAAATGTGTTTAAAGGTTTTATGCATATATTACATAAAGTAAGTTCACAGAATAAAATCTTAAAGACTGTCCACACTGTCATCCTCCTTTAGATGAAGAGCATGTGCAGCGACTGCAACAAGATCGTACAGTTGTTGACGGATATGCTCTCCAATCCAGACACTCAGGTGACATTGTGAACTTTAAAACTTTAAACATTGTTTGCATGCATATTTTCTTTACGCCAGACCCAATTGCCTTCTGTTCAAAACAATCATGGCAATAATTCACACCAATATATATGATCTCCTTCATGTTTTAATACGATCTGCATGCAGTGGTCATACTTATATAGAAGTGAGATCTCCAGCTGCATTATTTCCAGTCTTTCTTAAGCCAGCTGAGTTATGTAGTTTCTATTTGTGTAATAAGTTGTTTATTATAACTAAATGAAACTTTTTTTTAAAACTCATTGTTATGAATGGTTTGAGTTGTTTATATATTGATCTTCAACTGTTCCGTCTTCACAGCATCATATTGAAAATGTTTTGGACAAGTTTTGTTCTGAACACCCCGTCATCCCGTTGTGTATGGATGGAGCAAGGACATATGTGCATTTGGTCATCAAATATTTCAGTGCATACGCAGTGAGTCATCCGAAATTTTACTTAATTCTTTCTTAAATCTGAATTTAAAATATATAGACTTTATGTAGCCCCGCCCCTTTTCAGTGCTGCGCTCATTGTCTTTTGACTTCGGTCTGAATTTGACAGCGATCTTGCATAGGTATGAATGAACTGCTCGTAAAAAAATTCCTGGTCGACATTTGTTAAGACATCTGCTTTATAATGCTCATGATAACTTTTGTTAACTCTACAATAAGTAAATCCACTTCATCAGCTAATTACTCCTCGACCGCGAAACCGGAAGTTCAAAGACAATATTCTAAAGATGACGGCGCCCACGTTTCTCTGGTGCATAAGGTCTATAAACATGAGCAATATCTTCTTTATATTAATAATTTAGCTCTGAAAGCCAGATTTTTTTAACCCTTGTCGCGCAGAAGCAAAATGGCGACATATGCTCAATGTTGGGACTGTGTGCCGTCCAGTCCGAGAGAGAAGCGCCGGCAGAGCTCATGGTTGGCCTGGATGAACGTGGGGTACTCTATGCAAAACCCTCAAGAGGAACTAGTCAAGAGGTACGTGTTAGACAGGTCGAAGTTTACACAGTTTTACACTTGAAATACTGAATAATGAATCATTGCTTTCCATTGAAGACTGTAAAAAATAACGCTAATGGCTTTAGTCTAGATTGATTTAAACTGGGAAAACAATATCTATAAAAGAGTTACGGAGGAGTATTGCATTCACTTGAAGAAAAAAAAATTGACTCTGTTTTTCTGAATTAACAAGTTAGCCTAATTATCTCAGAATTACGAGATCATTTTTAATGGGAAAAGGTTTTTGCTCTGTTTTTCTGTTAATTTTTCATGAGAAAATTTTTTTTGCTCTGTTTTTTGATTTAACGAGTTAATTTTTCATGAGAAAAAAAAGTTTTGCTCTATTTTTCTGAATTGACGAGTTAATTTTTCATGACAAAAAAAGTTTTCGCTCTGTTTTTCTGAATTAACGAGTTAATTTTTCATGGAATTTTTTTTTTTGCTCTGTTTTTCTGAATTAACGAGTTAATTTTTCATGGAATTTTTTTTGCTCTGTTTTTCTGAATTAACTCGTTAATTCAGAAAAACAGAGCAAAACTTTTTTTCTCATGAAAAATTAACTCGTTAATTCAGAAAAACAGAGCAAAACTTTTTTTCTCATGAAAAATTAACTCGTTAATTCAGAAAAACAGAGCAAACATTTTTTTGTCATGAAAAATTAACTCGTTAATTCAGAAAAACAGAGCAAAACTTTTTTCTCATGAAAAATTTACTCGTTAATTCAGAAAAACAGAGCAAAACTTTTTTTCTCATAAAAAAATAACTCGTTAATTCAGAAAAACAGAGTAAACATTTTTTTCTCATAAAAATTAACTCGTTAATTCAGAAAAACAAAGCAAACACTTTTTTCTCATGAAAAATTAACTCGTTACTTCAGGAAAAACAGAGCAAAAACTTTTTTCCATGAAAAATTATCTCGTAATTCTGAGATAATTAACTGGTTAATTCAGAAAAACAGAGTAGATTTTTTTTCTTCAAGTGAATGCAATACGCCTCGATAAAGAGTCTAACCCTCATCAAATGGGAGTTTTTAATCCTTGCACACTTGGGGACTAAAGAGAAAAGTATTATGGCATGACTTTCAATTAACTGATCAAACTGCTGAAGAGTGGACGAGATCGAGGTATATTTGAAATATAGCAGTGAACATCATCTTATCATAATTTTAGCTGAAATTTGTCACTGCAGCAAAATGTTATAAATTGAAACCAACACAGATTTTACAATCCTCGGTATCAGCACAAAACAAACAACCCACATATATTTAGTACACCCACATAAAGGAATATTTACCAGTGTTGGGAGTAAACATGCATTACATATTCAAATGCTGCCTATCTTTTTTGATGTAACGAGTAAAGTTGGTAATAATGAGTAAAAAACGCATTACTTTAGAAATGTACGCATTAATATTTGAAATTAATGCACATTACTTTTGAGTTTAATTCATTTTTTCCTGCACGAAATGTTTTTCAGTGTTTTATGGTAGAGGGCGCTATTACACATCTTCTGAAAGAGTAATGAATCTCAGGATCAAAACACAGGCGGAAAAAGCAAAAACAAGCAATAAACGTAGTCTAAAACTGATTTTCTCAGGCTTTTGTTCAAAATGTTGCTTTTTTATGAAACTTACCCACGTTTAAGTGTTAAAAAATAAACAAATGCATGAATCTAGATTAGAAGAAGGAAAAAATAATAATTTTTTAAGCAGAGGCTCTGTTGTTCTTTCATATATACTTACACATTACTTTTAAAAGTAAGTTTCCCAACACTGATATTTACTGTATATAGCAAATATTATCTGGTTAATCATTTATGTCATCACAAACTGTCAAGCTCGAATCATTAAGGCAATATAAACTTTAACATTATGAATTTCTGCAAAGCGCCTGTTGTGAAAAGTGCTATGCACTATTTTGGTTTTATTGGGAAACGAAATTTGTCGTACATTCAAGTCTCTTTAAATTTGCTACTAGTTTAAGTAGTTAAAACCATTAAATCAAGCTCACATGTTCTCCTTTGTTTCTTAGGTTCATAACAATCCCATCTGTACCTTCTGTCTGTTCTTCATAAAGACACTTGAGGGCATGTTACCAAAAGAGAGAACTGCAGTAAGAATTTTTGTTTACTAGTCAATGTGTTCATATATTTTAATTAGCACCTGAATATTAAACACTCCCGGGTTATTTTCCGTTTGTTCTGTCTTGTTTTAGGAGATCATAGAGAACCTTCTGGAGAAAATCTGCGATCATTTGCCTGAGCAATATAAGGACATGTGTGACACCTTCGTAGAAACGTATGGAAAGAAGCTGATTGATCTCCTGTTGTCCTCTCTCCCTCCACACGCCATCTGTACGGCACTGGGTCTGTGTCTCTTCCCAGAGACACCACTGACTCGTGAGTAGTGTGAACGCCACCGGGAATGTGGAAGTGTTTTACGCTTTGGAGAATTGGTGAATTAGTGACCACAGTCTTTTCACATACAATAGTTTCTGTGGAAATCAGTAAGAAACTGAAAGTTTAAAAAATAGAACCTAATCTTAATTTTATTCCCTTTTTTAAAATTGTGTCCACTACCTAGTCAAGTGCGCTCTTGTGGTGACGATTTCGCATGAATTTCTGTTTCCATTCCTTTCGCTTTCGTACCAATCTGTCTATGAACCAAATACAAATCACATTGTACAAATTAATAGGAATCGCCATTTCGTAAAAAAATAATCTCATGAGATCGGGTTCATCGGTCTTATCACATAGAATAGTAGCTTTCTATATTTGTGGCAATGTGTTGACAAATATTTTAGGACTGTCAAAAATTTGTTTAAAACTAAACATTTGATTGTCTTTTATTAGGCTTATCACAAACTGAAACAACTCAATAGTCTTTAATGACATATAATAACTGAATATTTTGATTGTTAACAATAACTTTGTAATTATGTACTGTATTTTTCCACAGTCTATGTTGTTATTGACTTCCAAATAGTTTCTTGTTGTTCCCAAATATGTTTTAAAGGGATAGTTCACTTTGAAATTAATTTTTGATATGTTTTATCTTACCTCAAGGGCATCCAAGATGTAGGTGTCTTTGTTTCTGCAGTATTTTCAATTTTGATATTTTTAAGTCAAACCGTTCTTGTCTGTCAGTCATATAATGGAGGTTTTTTTTTTTTTTTACCTATTATGTTTTTGTCTGTTTTTGTCTGTACACCGTGGGATAGAGGGAAACGTAATTTCAATCTCTTGTATGTCTTGACATGTAAAGAAATTGACAATAAAGCTGACTTTGACTTTGACTATGGTCACCACCTCAAAGAGCATGCAAAGAGAAGTCCAAATTAAACATGATTTTATGACTCGTAAACAGTGGTGGAATGTAACGTAGTACAAATACTTTGTTACTTTACTTAAGTAAATTTTTCACGCATCTTTACTTTACTAAAGTAGAATAAATAGCACATACTTTTTACTTTTACTTCGTTACATTTTGCAGCAATTATTATACTTTCTACTCCACTACGTTTCTACAACTTCTTACATTTTCATTACATTTTCTGATCAGTTTTTCCCCTGCCAAAACGTAATCTGACCGTCCGTCCGTTGCACGTTTGTCTAACCAGTGACGTTTGGTTGCCATAGAGCCTCCATTTTTGCACTCAGGTCTAAGTCTCATGGCCCTCTATCAGAATCCAGTGGTTCAAGAAGATTGGAGAAATGTATTTTTTTTGCACAAAAAAAAAAAAGACGGGGGTAACACTGTCGTTTTTTTTGGGGTGGGGGGGGTCGAAATTTTGAGTTTCTCTGATCTTCTTTCTTGAAACTCTGGATTCTGGTAGAGGGCCATGAAACTTAGACCTGAGTGCAAAAATGGAGGCTCTTGACCCTTCCAGAGCTGAGATATTGAGGTACCACATAGCATTTATGCCATTATAAATATCTCAATATCTCAGCTCTGGAAGGGTCTAGAGCCTCCATTTTTGCACTCAAGTCTCCTGTCAGAATTCAGAGTTTCAAGAAGATTGGAGAAACTTATTTTTTCGCACAAATAAAAAAAAAACGTAAGGGGTAACACTGTCGTTTTTTTTTTTCTGGTCGAAATTTTGAATTTCGATATCTCAGCACTGGAAGGGTCTAGAGCCTCCATTGTTGCACTCACGTCTATGTCTCATGGCCCTCTATCAGAATCCAGAGTTTTGAGAAGATTGGGGATACTTAATTTTTCGCCCAAAAAAAAAAACGTAAGGGGTAACACTGTCGTTTTTTTTTCGGGTCGAAATTTTGAGTTTCGATATCTCAGCACTGGAAGGGTCTAGAGCCTCCATTGTTGCACTCAGGTCTGTCTCATGGCCCTCTATCAGAATCCATAGTTTTGAGAAGATTGGGGATACTTAATTTTTCGCCCAAAAAAAAACGTAAGGGGTAACACTGTCGTTTTTTTTTTTCGGGTCGAAATTTTGAGTTTCGATATCTCAGCACTGGAAGGGTCTAGAGCCTCCATTGTTGCACTCAGGTCTGTCTCATGGCCCTCTATCAGAATCCAGAGTTTTGAGAAAATTGGGGATACTTAATTTTTCGCCCCCCAAAAAAAAACGTAAGGGGTAACACTGTCGTTTTTTTTTTCGGGTCGAAATTTTGAGTTTCGATATCTCAGCACTGGAAGGGTCTAGAGCCTCCATTGTTGCACTCAGGTCTATGTCTCATGGCCCTCTATCAGAATCCAGAGTTTTGAGAAGATTGGGGATACTTAATTTTTTGCCCCAAAAAAAAAACGTAAGGGGTAACACTGTCGTTTTTTTTCGGGTCTAAATTTTGAGTTTCGATATCTCAGCACTGGAAGGGTCTAGAGCCTCCATTGTTGCACTCAGGTCTATGTCTCATGGCCCTCTATCAGAATCCAGAGTTTTGAGAAGATTGGGGATACTTAATTTTTCGCCCAAAAAAAAAACGTAAGGGGTAACACTGTCGTTTTTTTTTTTCGGGTCGAAATTTTGAGTTTCGATATCTCAGCACTGGAAGGGTCTAGAGCCTCCATTTTTGCACTCAGGTCAAAGTCTCGCGGCCCTCTATCAGAATCCAGAGTTTTGAGAAGATTGGAGAAACTTAATTTTTCGCCCGAAAAAAAAAAACGTAAGGGGTAACACTGTCGTTTTTTTTTCGGGTCGAAATTTTGAGTTTCGATATCTCAGCTCTGGAAGGGTCTAGAGCCTCCATTTTTGCGCTCAGGGCAAAGTCTCGCGGCCCTCTATCATAATCCAGAGTTTTGAGAAGATTGGAGAAACTTGATTTTTCGCCCGAAAACGCAAAAAAACGTAAGGGGTAACACTGTCGTTTTTTTTTTCGGGTCGAAATTTTGAGTTTCGATATCTCAGCTCTGGAAGGGTCTAGAGCCTCCATTTTTGCGCTCAGGGCAAAGTCTCGCGGCCCTCTATCATAATCCAGAGTTTTGAGAAGATTGGAGAAACTTGATTTTTCGCCCGAAAACGCAAAAAAACGTAAGGGGTAACACTGTCGTTTTTTTTTTTCGGGTCGAAATTTTGAGTTTCGATATCTCAGCTCTGGAAGGGTCTAGAGCCTCCATTTTTGCACTCAGGTCAAAGTCGCGGCCCTCTATCATAATCCAGAGTTTTGAGAAGATTGGAGAAACTTAATTTTTCGCCCGAAAACGCAAAAAAACGTAAGGGGTAACACTGTCGGTTTTTTTTCGGGTCGAAATTTTGAGTTTCGATATCTCAGCTCTGGAAGGGTCTAGAGCCTCCATTTTTGCGCTCAGGGCAAAGTCTCGCGGCCCTCTATCATAATCCAGAGTTTTGAGAAGATTGGGGATACTTAATTTTTCGCCCCAAAAAAAAAAAACGTAAGGGGTAACACTGTCGTTTTTTTTTCGGGTCGAAATTTTGAGTTTCGATATCTCAGCTCTGGAAGGGTCTAGAGCCTCCATTTTTGCGCTCAGGGCAAAGTCTCGCGGCCCTCTATCATAATCCAGAGTTTTGAGAAGATTGGAGAAACTTGATTTTTCGCCCGAAAACGCAAAAAAACGTAAGGGGTAACACTGTCGTTTTTTTTTTCGGGTCGAAATTTTGAGTTTCGATATCTCAGCTCTGGAAGGGTCTAGAGCCTCCATTTTTGCACTCAGGTCAAAGTCTCGCGGCCCTCTATCATAATCCAGAGTTTTGAGAAGATTGGAGAAACTTAATTTTTCGCCCGAAAACGCAAAAAAACGTAAGGGGTAACACTGTCGTTTTTTTTTCGGGTCGAAATTTTGAGTTTCGATATCTCAGCTCTGGAAGGGTCTAGAGCCTCCATTTTTGCGCTCAGGTCAAAGTCTCGCGGCCCTCTATCATAATCCAGAGTTTTGAGAAGATTGGGGAAACTTAATTTTTCGCCCAAAAAAAAAAAACGTAAGGGGTAACACTGTCGTTTTTTTTTCGGGTCGAAATTTTGAGTTTCGATATCTCAGCTCTGGAAGGGTCTAGAGCCTCCATTTTTGCACTCAGGTCAAAGTCTCGCATGGCCCTCTATCATAATCCAGAGTTTTGAGAAGATTGGAGAAACTTAATTTTTCGCCGAAAACGCAAAAAAACGTAAGGGGTAACACTGTCGTTTTTTTTTTCGGGTCGAAATTTTGAGTTTCGATATCTCAGCTCTGGAAGGGTCTAGAGCCTCCATTTTTGCACTCAGGTCAAAGTCTCGCGGCCCTCTATCATAATCCAGAGTTTTGAGAAGATTGGAGAAACTTAATTTTTCGCCCGAAAAAAAAAAAACGTAAGGGGTAACACTGTCGTTTTTTTTTCGGGTCGAAATTTTGAGTTTCGATATCTCAGCTCTGGAAGGGTCTAGAGCCTCCATTTTTGCGCTCAGGTCAAAGTCTCGCGGCCCTCTATCATAATCCAGAGTTTTGAGAAGATTGGAGAAACTTAATTTTTCGCCCGAAAAAAAAAAACGTAAGGGGTAACACTGTCGTTTTTTTTTCGGGTCGAAATTTTGAGTTTCGATATCTCAGCTCTGGAAGGGTCTAGAGCCTCCATTTTTGCACTCAGGTCAAAGTCTCGCGGCCCTCTATCATAATCCAGAGTTTTGAGAAGATTGGAGAAACTTAATTTTTCGCCCGAAAACGCAAAAAAACGTAAGGGGTAACACTGTCGTTTTTTTTTCGGGTCGAAATTTTGAGTTTCGATATCTCAGCTCTGGAAGGGTCTAGAGCCTCCATTTTTGCACTCAGGTCTAAGTCTCATGGCCCTCTATCATAATCCAGAGTTTTGAGAAGATTGGAGAAACTTAATTTTTCGCCCGAAAAAAAAAAACGTAAGGGGTAACACTGTCGTTTTTTTTTCGGGTCGAAATTTTGAGTTTCGATATCTCAGCTCTGGAAGGGTCTAGAGCCTCCATTTTTGCACTCAGGT